ACTCTCTACCAGGATCAAAGTTATAGATACTCTGGGAATGGCAATTTTGCCTAGGCTGTGACTCCCCTCAGCGCTAAGCACAAGTTTTATATACTCAAGTGCTTACGTTGAGAGCTTATGTGGTATTTAAGGATTTCGAGGGTCTTGTAGCTCTGGACTCAGGGGTGAAATTCATCCAGTGTACTTAGCAGTTTTTTCCATAGCCATTCTACAGCACTTTCCTTCTGAGGATACAAAGTGATTTGCAAACATTAATTAATTCTCATAAAGCCCTATGAGGCAGATAAGTGTTAAGTATCCCTGTGTTAGTACATATGAGAAACATGAGACCTGAGTGCCTTATGATCCGTGCTGTTGTCTGTATTCACACCCAAAAAGCAATATGTGCCTTGGGACAGAGGAAACCCTCGTTTTTTGTCATTCTCTTGTTTTCCTTGGGCCCCCTGGAGTCCTTCAAGGGCAGCAGGGATGAGGCTGGGATTCAAGCTACAGCATGTGAGATTCAATCTACACAGATTGGAAAAGAGAGGGAGCCTTGCTGTATTTGCTGCTGGTTTTGGGGGAGGGAGCAAGGCCCTTTGTGCAACCTGTGGGTTACTTACTCTATGCTCCAGCACCCCATTTTAAAGGTAGCTTGGGCTCCCAAAGTAGAAAACCTCCCCGAAACTGCAGGCCTACTTGCAGAATACCAAGAACAACAGAGCCAGATGACAAGTGGAGGCAGAGGGATTACTTGCAGAAATAGCTCAGTAACGCTGGAGATGGAGTCTTGGCCTTATTGAGGGACAATGGCAGCTTTATGAGAGACATTAGAGCAGCCAAACTTTAATGCTAACAACATTGAGTGAGAGACATTGTTCTCTAGAGCAATGACTAGACATAAGATCATCCAAATGCTTTTCTGAAGGCAGTCTGACAAATTTATCTGTGGTTACATGCCTTCCCAGCCCTCAGCACATAAGCTAATGTTGCAATTATAATTAAGATAGTGATCAGACCTACCAGGCCTTTTTTAAGACATGAAAATCAGACTAATTCCCTAGTTTCAAACACAATGAGTTCAAATATGTGATGTAAATGCTAAGAAAAAGATACCAAAGTGAGAGGCATGTTAGGTCTGCGGCAGCCAAACTTCTATTCTTATCTTAGCAAGTCCATATTCTTCAGGCATTGTTTGTATTTCTATTGTGCCAGGAGATTTCATTCTTTAGTTTGAGGATTCTCCCTGAATGAGGGAGGGAAACATTGCTATCGCTGTGAAAAAGAAACATTTCTTTCTGACATATTAAGCATTAAGAGGATTATGTAAAGGCAAGGCATATTGCAGAAGGAGATGTTCTTAAAATAGCTTTGACGATGAACCCATGACCCTCCAGAAAATTTAGGAGAGTTAAAAAACCTATTGCTTTGACAATCTTTTCATTTAAAAAAAATCTTCTTGTAAAAAGATCAAGGAATTCATCCACTGGTATTTACATAAAATTCAACCTTTCCTGTTTAAAATCATGAATGATTTAATGTTACATCGGCAGGATATCTGAGGCAGATCCCATTAATCCAAGTCATTTCACAAATTCCAATTTCATTTGGATTAAAACCTACAACTAAGTCAGTGAATAGTATATACTGTACATGCGTTAAGGCTGGTGACTACTGAAATCTCTTGGGTAGATAAACTAAGCACAGATTAGCCAAGTCTGAGTATATGTCCTCATCAAGGGAAAAAAAGATATCCTGACATTTCAATGATGTAGATTTGAATCAGTAGCCATGAAAAATGGTTGAACATTTGTATTACAAAAGAGATACTATGGCACAGTCCCAAAGGTGCATTTCTTATAAATTAATTAGCTGCACAAATTATTTTGATAACAGTTACTGCACTTCTGAGGTGATATGGCTGCTCAGTGATGAGTACTTGATGATCAATGGTAGGCACTAGTAATATCCTTCATGCTGAGTGACTTTTATTACTATTTAGATTTACAGTATGTACATATGTGTTTGTATCTACACTTAGGGCTTGGTCTTCTTAACCTCCTTTACCTAAGGTCCTCTGTTCACTACAGTCTCTTCCTTTGGAGCCCTGTGATATTTCGATAAAAGAAATAGGCAAACAAGGGGTTGGGGTATCCTGCCATGCGACAGGGAGGACTATGCTTGGCTTTTGGCCACACTAGAACCTCTGCATATGCTTTGTTCTTACCTGTCATTCATGCCACCAGGGAATACTATAAAGGATTAAGGCCAAGGGGTATGTATGATCACGCTGTCTGTGAGGATCCTATAGGCTACTCTGCATTTGTTCTATCCACCTGCAATACATGGTTCCTTTGAATGCATTCCCATTGCTTTACCAACCCTGACTGATTCAGAAGCCTCTGTTTGTAAGCAAACCTCTCCTTCCAGGCATAATCCTTCTGGGTTTGTACAGAATGACTCCTCACTTTTACAGAATGAACCTGAACATTGCTATGGCATAAAGAAGCCTGCATGTTCCTGGACTTTTACAGTAGGTTGCAACAAGTAAGCGCCTTTCATGGTACCCCAAAGAAGAGCAGTCTCTGCTGGTCCCACCCAGAACACACAGAGCACCTTTGACTCACGGTGAAGTGCCTTAGACTATTCAGCTTCTTAATGGTGAACATATGCTCAATTGGACCAGACCTTAAAGCCACATGGAATTTTCCAGACAAGGCCCTAAGAAGATTAAATGAAGTATTTGATGTCACCATGCAACATTCGGTCATCTAAACAGCAGCAACCATATACAGCAAATAGTCTGCAAAAAAAAGCGTATTCTCAATAACCTCACCAAAACTGTACAGCTGCAAGAAACCTTGTGGAGAGAAAGCCAAAACCTCTAATCCATTTATATGTCTACTTGACATATATTAAATAGCTGTTACTTCATCCTGTCACACTACCAGAAGTTAAGGCTCGGTGTGCTCATCAGACAATGCAGATGATGCCAGCACAAAACCTAAAACCCAATGTATCTTTCCATGGAAGCAAAGGGTATTTTAGCCAGAATAATTCAATATAAGAACAATCTGCAAGTAAGGACAATAATCTAAAAGAGATCCTTAGTACCTGGAAATGTTACAACAGGACAGCATTAATTCTTGCATTTCTTTGAAGTTTCTTGACATATTACACCCATACAAAGAGTTCATCGTGATTAAGAAAAATATCCCGATCTTAGTAAAATAAACATGCTTCAAAGTTCCATATTTGAAACTCAAATGCCACATGTGCAATAAAACTAAACTCCATTTAAGGCAAGTAATAGATGTAATTTCTAAAATTTCTTAACATTGAATAGCAGTAAGGGCTCCCAAACCCACAAAACTTATCTGAAGATAAACATCATAGGCACTGTCAAAGAAAAGAGAAGCTAATCTAATCAGAATTTCACTTTCCTGACCTAAGAAGGAATCCCACAGTACCTTCATATGGAATTAAAGCAACTGACATTGCTACTCATGTAGTAAAGCACAACAGACTTCCACAGCTGGAGATCAGGCGAGTGATAAACAGAAAGGCACCAATCAAGTTCTCCACGATATCTGTGACCAAATTGCGTTCCTTCTGGGGTGAGTAACAGCCAGAGTTAAGAGAGATGGGAGGACTCAGAGGATGTATATTTTGTCATCTAAAGACAGGTCCGTGTTCACTCATAAAGCCAGCCACACTATACCGCTCCAGTCTGTGCTAAGAGGTGGCCGCAGCCTGAGCTCAGGACTTATCTAGGGGGGAAGTATCTGAGCACCAAGGGGCACATAAATATCGGCCCAGGATGGCTTGGGACTGAGCAGTCCCTTGGTCGCTACCCTGCTAAGCTGCTTCAAAGAACAGGGTGAATGCTCTGAGTCTGAGCAACAGCTGGAGCTATGGTAAAAAGTGCAGGTACATGGGGCTCGGTGTACTCTAAAGCCCGCTCTTTACCACAGTGTAAATACAGCCTGTGTTACCAAAGGTGTTTTGCTGAAAAAAAAGTGACACATTTTTTGGTATCTTTCTTCCAAAAACTTTTCAAAAATAGGGGATAAAGAAAAAGGCAGCAAGGACCAATCAATCGACCATCAATATCAGTGGCTACTTCTACTTCTATTGAAAGAGTCTTTTGTACTCATATTTCCTTAATATATAAATTAGATTAAAAAACAACAATCAAAGGGTCCAGTCAGTGAATCAGACAAAAACAGTCCATTGAAGTCACTAGAGCCACTGACTGGAGTAAGGGCTGCAAATCTTATTCAAAAGAACTATATTTCCAATACAAAGAAAGAAAACTAAATGTGTAAAAAACACTGACAATGAACAAAAATGTACTGATTGCAAGCACAGTTGATAAGAACTGGCCTTGACCTCAGCTGACCCAAACTGCACTCCAATTATGGTGGGATTAATTCTTCTGGAATGAAAAACACAGCCTGTCAACAGGAACTGAAAACATCCCATAAATCAAGAAACATTAAAGCCTACTTGAGGATTATGCATGAAGAGTGAGAGGATTATGATAGGAAACTGTTCTTAGCCTGATGAACAGCAAATTCAGCTTCCCAGATAAAGGAAATTGCATGTAATGCTCCCACACAGCCTAGAAGAAAATGCTGCAAGCTTTTGCTAGATGAAAAAGATATGAAAGTCAAAATCCGTGGGATGCAGCCTTCCCATGCAAAGCCAACACCTGGTATAGATATCTCTATGTCTCTCTGTACACAGCTGAAATTAACACATTTTCTTTTCTAAATGGATTGCAGTTTGCCGTATTTTTTCATTTATCTGTTTACTGTCATTACCAGAGTGCAATTTACCACCATCTCTTTTAAGTTCTCACTATCAGCATATCTATTTTCAGGCTTTTTGCTTGATACTGTAGGTTATACTGTTGGCGAGGAGCTGAACAAGAGGTAAAGTTATTTTAAAAGACAGAAGGCAAAGAAATGCATGCAATTTGTTGAAACTTAATACACATGAAGGAATGCTGTCTTTCTCCAACTTAATGCGGACTACACGACTCCTCTGTGTGCCCCAGTGGGCAAGTAACAGGGAGACAGCACATTAATATTGAAACTTCTGTGACTTGTCCATGCTCACAGTAAAAGTTCTCCATGTCTATGACTTGCCTTCATCCCTTCCAGTTCAGGAAAGCCCTTGTGTATGAACCTAAGCTCTAGTGAAGTCAACGGGACTTCAGTACAAGCTTAAAGTTGAGAGCTTTCCTGAACAGGGATCTGTGCTTATTGCACTTGGTTCAATCAACCCATGAGATTTTGGGTTCTGAGTTTTTCAGCACAAGAATAGAGAGGGTATGTTTTGCACATTAAGATCAGTTCTTTCTAGTGTATGAAAAAGTTTGGAGAGTGGTACAGAACAATTCATTCTGAAGAGACATCATTGTATATTGTATATATGCACACATACATGTCTGCACTCAGAAAAAATTTTGCTCAACATTGAACAAATATTCACCTTTGTTTGGATCAATGCTGTGGTTGACTATTTCTGTAGCACAGTGTCCAGAATAACTGAATTATCCATGAAAGGTTTACTGTCCATGTGAATGGCACACAGTCATTATGACAAGTGAGCGCTATTCCGCACCCAGTGAAGTCCTTGCTGAGTGTACTGAACTAAATGCTCCATACTGCTGTGCAAGGTGACAGGGCCCATCAATGCATCCAAGTCGTTAAAAAAATCTACAGGGGGGAAAAAAATCAGCATCAGAAGAGCAAAGCTGTATTAGCTACTTGTCACCCTTTAACAGATTTTATTCTCTTGCAAATTGAGCCGAGCTGAACATTTCATGAGAATGCAAGTTTAGTGCTGGTGAGATTAATTTTAAAGCCCTGTCGTTCATGATGCTACAGACTGATGCACAACAATTTTCTTTTTAAAGAACAAAATGGTGAGTTCTTCAGCTTTGTTTTTCATTAATTTCTATTGAGTCTTGGTAAAGAAAACAGATGCTGGGCAAGATTTATTTTGAGATTAAGGACAACTAAATCAAAAAGTCTACACGCAAGTGTCTGTCTGTACATATGCTAGATGTTTAAGCTACCATGACAGAGAAATAGAGGCCTGTACAACATGGTCAACCCAGCCGAAAGAGTAATTTGGCTAACTAGCCAGCAGGGACTTAATTCAGTTGCCTACTTAGAGGCATGCAGTGCCCATTTGAGATGCTCTCAGGCACTTGACACATATAGCCTGGACCAGCAGATCTAACACAGGACATACAGGAGACTTCTGAAGTGTCAGTGTAGGTAAGAATACCTCAAATGACATTTGACAGCTATGGTTAGGCAACTGTATTGCATCTCTGGCTCCCCTTCAGGGTGAGCTGAACAGCCCTCTGAACTCTGCTGCTTGTATTGAACAAAGCTTCATCAACTGCAGAGGGAGATTAGCCCCTCAACTCATATATACAGAGCTGCACCTAGGTGTCCTCATTTTGATTTGAATCCTGCCTGCACCTGGCCTTAAATACATAAATTAGCCTGAAAACCAAGGAATGCTTTATCATCAAGTCAGGTGCTGAGGCACTCCCTCACGGAAACCAGTTCAGCTGAGAAAAGTTTGCTCTGAAGAAGGAGTGAGGCACCTTGCTCTCATTTGTGTCTGCTTGGATGGGGAGAAGTCTAGGGGCTGTCAATACCTTCTGCAGAAAGGAATTGTGCTCCTGCTTTTTTATGTGATCTGGCTAAATGCATCCCATTCAGCTCCACAACTTTGGAGGGATGGGAAGCTGCTTTGCCTCCCACAAACTCTTCTCTGCAGAATGACATGGATGGCAGTGAATGCTACCCACAGCTATGTCTGTAACCTGTCTGCAGCAGTCCTGACCAGACAAATAAAGGAAAAAAATAGATGCTTCTGAGTGAGACTGCTATCAAAATTGCCTTTTTGGGCCATTTTTGAACAGACTAGGAGCAGACTGAAGAAAAAAATCACCTCTGCTGTCCTACTTTGCAAAGAGGATTCCTATCAAAATAGCTATTTTCCTGATCAAAATTGCATGACAATCTTGTAGAATAGTCCAGTGCCTTGACTCACTCACCTCTGTTCTCCTTGGCCAGGTTGTCAGCCATCTCCCAGTAGTCATAGCTGTGCAGGATGCTGTTGGTGATGCTGACATGGTTGGCGGCCATCTGATGAATGCGCTGCGGGATGCTGATGATAGGAGATGGGGATGGGGCCCCTGTGCTCCCCTGGGATCCTACAGAGCTGACTGGAGAAGGGCTAGGGGACATAGGTGATGGAGTTCCTGTGCTCCTGGAAATGGATGTTAATACAGCTACTTAAAAGGGTGTTGAGATTAAAAACATGAGAGTATCAGTACATGCTGCAGGTAAGAAAATACAATTTCTGACTGCCAATCTGAGGTAAGTTTCTGTGTGACTTACTTTCCACTGGTACCCCAAGGAGATGGGTTCTGGGCAGATTTTGATGAATTCTGTAACAGAAAAAAAAATTCACAATGCATATAATTTATAGAGGACTATGAAATGAAGGTCATTAAGCAGTATAAAAGTAATGAAATGTAAAGATTGTAAAAATTGTGTAGATAGAAGTACTGAAGTCTCATGATGCAGTAAGTCCACTCAACCTAGTTTGATGTTGTGATGAAGCAAAGCTGCAGCGCAGACTCAAATCACAGTCTATTAAACACCCTGGGCTGGGGGCTAATTAGGAAAGCATGTTAGTTGAAACAGAAACTTTTCGCAGAAATCCTGGGAGTTCAGAAGAACGTGCTGCCAGGACTTTTCGTGAGGTTTAGGCTGGAATTTCTTGTGATAGAGAAAACCAGAAGGATTTCTTCCCACTCTCCTGCCCCCAAAGGCAAATGTTCTTCTTCTATGACCTGTGGGATTGTGCAAGTCTGCTCAGCCTGGCTGATGACAGGGGTGTGAATCTGGGGCTCCCTCATCTTGGATGTGTGCTTTAACCACCGGGCTCAAGAATCTCTCCTAGGATTGCTCTTCTTGGGTCTCTTCCCCCTGGTCTGAGTATGGCAGCATTCACAGGGCCAGAGAGACTGCCCTTGTTGAGTGGTGGTTCCAGCTGAAGGGTTATCCAGACACCCCCAGAAGGGAACATCAGATCATACAGTGTGATCTCCTGTGTGCCTGCAGTCATTAAGACTCTCACTGGTATACTGTGCTGAAGAATTTAATTGCTTGAGGAGTGGCTACCTCATACAAGTCCTACATTTACAGAGCAGGAGAAATTCAGGGGTCCACAATAATGGAAGCTGAATAGCTAAAATTATTCTAGCAGTTAATCTATGAGAATTGGTAGGAATTTACTGGCAGGTTCATGCCCATTTGACCTGTGGAGAAACTCCTCCCCTCTCTCAAATGCAGTGACTAATTTAATCCTGGGCCTGTGAGAAAGAAGGATGTAAAAAACAGACGTCTAAGAAACAAACATTTTCTGGTCCATCCCATCTGCAGCCTCATGTTCAGCAATGGCCAGTTTCTAACTCTTCAGAGGAAAGTGACTTCCTCTAATTCTCCTCTGAAACCATACATCCAGATAATTGTGTGCTGGGCAACAACCCTCCCTTCTTGACAACCACGGGAGATCAAGCAAAGTCCTGCAGCTTGAGAGCTGTTTCTGGAGGGCTGCAGGTGTTGTAGACATTAACAACAGTACAAAAACTCGTGGTCTTCCATGGTTTAGGAAGGAAAAACGATAAACAAGGGGCTTCAGAGCTTCAGGGATTTCAAGGTCAAGAGTTATCCCCCAGGACACTCAGTTTGCAATTTCCCTTTTTCACCAATCATGGAGCATTTATGAGAAGCTAAATTGCTTTAAAAATTGATTTTATTTTTAACAGGATAGCCAGTCATATAGAAATCCTAAGACACTATTTATCCTCCTGGTCCTCCTGCGTTTTGTGTCTAATGATTAGCAGGCCTCACAGTTAGGAAAACACATTTTGTTTCAGGGTTTCAGGACCGAATTTTCTTAACTTCAGTGCTAGTTTTTGGATTTTGGTGGTCCAGGGCCAGCAAAACTGCACATCACCTGGAATTATCAGGTCTGTTTCCATATACACAATGATCCCATCCGCTCTAAACCTGTTCTGCAGTAAGCTGGACCTGTCTCCTGAGCCACTCTTCAAAAAGTTTGTTTTCTTAGTTTTGACATGTCCTCTGAGCTGGCTCTTGCATTCCCACCTCTTCCAGGAGCATGCCAACACTGGCGGTATTTTAGCAGCGATCATATTGGTGCTGTGTGGGCCCTGGCATTCTTCCAGCATTTTGACACTGGGCCTTCCACATCCCAGGTAAGTGGTATGAAAAATAAAGTTTGGAGTGTCCCACAGGGGGTTCTTCGTTCAATGGGTTTTCTCTTTATTTTGGCAGGAAGGGCTAAGGTGTGAATGATAAAAAATGAAAAGTTCTCATTTACCATCCTAATTAGAACCAACCTGGGAATCCTTGGCATTTGCGCCTCTTACAGAATAGGTTTGTTTTTTTCCCCCTTTCTTTTCTTTTCTGATGTGTCTCAGAACTACTGGCCTTTATCTTTCTAGTGCAATAGAAACTGAGGACATGTTATTTACTTGCAGAGTCGGATGCAGGAAAACATGAAAATTGATGTGGAGTCGAGGATACTTGCTGTAAATGTAACCAACTTCTGCCTTACTGTACAACTCCCCACATCTTTTTCTTTCCTCATATTTTGGGTATATTATTCCAGCCTCCTCTCAGTTCTGCACCAGAAAGGTGTGGGGGTAAGAATTTTAAAGAGTATAATGTTGAAAGGGATCATTGCTTATCCCACTTTGCTTACTGCTACCCATTCTTGTTGTTTCTTTGTGCTCTCAAATGTGTCTACCCCTGAATATCTGTGGCTTCTTTTTAATTCTCTGCTGCATTATTTTTTTTAATAATGGAAACAGAATACTTAAAAGGAGATTTAAATAATATTTTTTTCTTTTCTAAAAGAAAAGTGTGTCTAATTTTCCCTGCAAATGTGTGTAACAAGGTTTAAAATCCTTCTTTGACTGATAATATATGTAGAAGTTCTTAATGCAGTCAGCATTTCACATCACTTGGTTTTGAAAGCTTTTAGATACCAAATATGAAATGAGTGGAGAATTGGCTTGTTTTCCACTGAAAATTATAGCAAATGGATTTTTTTTTCCATTTTTACTTTCAAAGGTGAGAATACTTTCTAATGTGAAGCTGCGCTATCATTATATCAGCAGGAGCTCTGCAAAAAAACAAGCTCATCTTGGCTATAGCAGAGTATAAGTCCATTTTATGTTTGCTGTGAACCAGTTTCTGTATGGTAGTAGGAGATATTTTACATGGTTGAGAGCCTGACCATCCTGTTCTTAATGCGGGTATTCTCTGAACTGGTAAAGAAAAATAAAGTTCTGTAATAGGCACATATTTCTTTGCCCTGAAATCTAGTCATTGTTAAAGAAACGTAACGTGTTGAATTATATATTGCTAAATTTTTAGAAGCAATTACAGTGACTTCAATTTCAGTTTGACAATAACGGATCTGTCAATTTCCTTCACTGTCTTCATTTGTTCAAAATCTGGTCATGAGCATTCATGCTTGTATTTGATTTTTTTTTAATAACAAAATGTCGAAAGATGGATGTTTTTCATTTCAAGGTACCTCCCTCTACAAAAAAAAAACCTCAGCAGAGGAGCCCTGTGTTCAAAGACAAACGGCTGTTCAGGTCCCTCAAAAGAGTTTGTCTTAATGCTTGTACGTATGTACTTGTATCTATATATTATTTTTTTAACCAGAAAGAGAAAAGCCAGTTTTGTGTTTGGAGATGAACTGAAAGGTTTTCTTCCTGAGAGAATTTCCAGAGAAAGGTTGCCTGTCAAATAAAATATATTACAATACTTTGAATGATGACTTCCTGTCTTATTCAAAATAACCTGGGTTTGGACCTGGCAGAGAGTGGAAAACGGAAGCAGTAGCAGGTGAAGCAAAGCAGGAAGGGGAAGGCAGCAGTGCCCTGTCAAGTACATGGCAGGCGGCACGGTTGCCCTCCGATGCTTTCGTACAACTCTCGCTGAAGTCAGCGTTTGCCAGTTCCTTGGGTAAGAACATGTCCCACTGCACTGTCCTACCTATCAGTGCTGCTAAGTGGAAGCCCTGAAGCTGAGGACTGATCTAGAACAAAGTCTTCAACTCACAGGTGGGAAGTGTAATCCTGGAGGGGATTCTCAGAGCAAAATCTTCAAAACCTGTTTGCAGCAGAGCTGGATAGCACTAGACAATCAACCAAGAATAATCTGAAAATACCTGTTTGTTAGTACAATAAATGCCTCATCCTTCATGAAGGGACATGGTATGCATTTTGCAAAGAGGGCCCCTTGTGAAGACAACAGAAATGACTGGAGATCAGCTGTTGCCATGGGAGTCTGTGGTAAAACTCTACTGAGTTCAGAGAGGAAGAACTAAGCCCAGCACAGCTACTGTTTGAGTAAGATGCTGTATTTCCTATAATGGCATACTGATCTAAAAACATGTCATAAAGAATGCACCTTGAAATACTCAATAAGTGCTTTAGAATACTTGACTGCGTGGTCTCTCTTGAGTCGGAACATCCTCCAGTACAGAAGGGCCAGGCAGCGGTAACTAGAACAAAAGGGAGAGCAGAAGGTAAAGTGTGACCCCTGAACAGAAAGCCCAATTACTTATCTTAAATTCTCAAACTGACACGGAGTGCAAGGCTGACAGCATCTTGCTTACAGTTTTCATCACCACTTGCTTACCATACTTCACACTTTACCATGGATTCATGAGCAAGGCTAGATATTACAGCCAGGACAGGACACACGGACAAACGCTACCAGGGAGGTAGTGAGCAAACTATACTCAGAAGGGTTTGCAAGCCTTGACTCTGACTTGAAGTCCGCACACTTGACCAAAGGAAAGATCTTTTTCTCCCGTAAAAAGATCATTGCAGGCCTGAAACCCAGCATACGCAATCTTTTTAATTTCTTTTTGTAAAAGCAATGGCAGCCTTTTGGGGTATCTTATCCTGGGACTTAATTACAACAGCCTGGAGCCCCTATAATGAGCTAGAGTTAAAACGAGTGTATTTTGTGTACACCCAGTGGTCTTTTCCAGCAGCCGGAAATAGCTGGACTTGCTATTTCACTGGCCAAACTCCTCTGTGGGAAACCAGAATGAAGATTGTGTTGGAGACTGGAGGCTATTCCTAGGCCACCTGCCTGATTCGTTCCCCAGAGGAAACCAGCTGTGGGCTCAAAAACTCAACGTGCTGTACTGAAACTGCCTGACCCTGTGCTCCTCATTAGCCTGCAGAGAGCCATATGCCTTTAATGCTATGTAATTAAAAAAGGCTAATGGCTATTAGCTATAATTATAAATCACAATAACTGATAATCACCATTCAGGACACACAAACTCTTTTCTTTAAGTGTACCCATCAATTTTCCAAATCAAGAATCACCACCACCTCTTCCCAGCAAGCTTTTTCATTGACAAGTGTGGTATTTCCCCAGAGTAACACAGCTTTTGAAACAAAAATATGGTGTGTTTTTGTTTTCCTTTGGCAGCAGAGGCCTTATTTTTAAAAGCGGAATTTAGTCTTGAAGCCAACCTGAAGCATCAGAATCACGGAACTGTTATGGTTGGAAACGATCTTTAAGGTCATCAAACCCAACTGTTATCTGACTCTACCATGCCCACTTCTAAACCATGTCCCTGAGCACCATATCTAGATGGCTTTTAAATACATCCAAGAATGGTGATTCTACCACTTCCCTGGGCAGCCTGTGCTAGTCTTTGGAAACCCTTTCAGTCTAGAAGTCAGAAGAATGTCTAACCTAAAACTCCTCTGGCATAACTTGAGGCCATTTCCTCTTGTCCTGTTGGTTGTAACTTGTGAGAAGAAACCCACATCTACCTCTCTACAACCTCTTTTCAGGTAGCTGTAGAAAGTGATAAGGTCTCCCCTCTTCCCAGCCTCCTTTTCTTCAGGCTAAACAACCCCAAGTCCCTGAGCTGCTCCCTGTAAGACTTATTCTTAAGACCCTTCACCAGCTTTGTAGCCCTTCTTTGGACCCTCTCCAGCACCTCAATGTCTTCCTTATCCTGTGGTGCCCAAAATTGAACACAGTACTCAAGATGCGGCTTCACCAGCGCCGAGTATGGTGGCACAAGTACTTCTCTACTCCTGCTGGCCACACTATTCCTCATGCAGGCCAGGATGCCGCTGGCCTTCTTGGCCACCTGGGCATACTGCTGGCTCAGATTCAGTTGGCTGTTGACCAACACCCCCAGGTCCCTTTCTGCCAGACAGCTTTCCAGCCACTCTTCTCCAAGCCTGTAGCATTGCATGGGGTTGTTGTGACCCAAGCGCAAGCACTGTGCTTTGAGAAACTGCCTTGAGTTTGGAAGCACAGAGCGCTCTCCATCTCCCCAGGCCTAGGAGTTGCCCAAAACTCAGCAAACCCCTCAAACTAACAAACTGCTTTTGAAAAAGAAAGAAAAAAAACATCCCAGGCAGGCTTTCTCGGCCAGTTTGCTTTCTGCGCCGAAGGCAGAAGGTGAATTTCTGCCTTTGGCCGCTGGAGGACAGTCTCTCCTTAGGAGACGCGGAGCCAGCTGCCTGGCAGCCCGCCCGACGGAGGGGGGCAGCGGGAGCAGCCCGGGGGCTGCGGTGGCCTCGCAGTCACCATCCCTCTCGCTCTGTCACCTTCACAGGTACCACGCATATGCAGATGGTGTCGGCTCATCTGCTGGCTGGCAGACGGGGATTTAGGGAGGGCTATTCATCGCCCGGAGAAGTCTCCGTCTGCTTTCCCTCGCCCTGACCTTTCTGCTGAAACAGATGCGGCGGCTTCGTGATTTTTGCCATGCGGTTTCGCGCACGCTGAAGCGCTCCAGCAGTTATGAGCAGCCCTTAATGTAATATAGCTTTATTGTTGTTGTTGTTGTTGTTGTTGTTATTATTATTATTATTTTTACCTTATTTTAGTCGTTTTTCCACCTAGGCGTTTTTAAAACAATAGCTGTGAATGCATTATGTGCTCTTCCTGAGGGCACAGCAAACTAGTGACAAAGAAAGGGCATTTAAAAAAAATATTTTGTTCTTTTTTTATACAAATGAGTAATTAGGACTCCTTGTTTATGGAGGCTAAAGATGCATTTAATTAGGATTTTTAACAGATGGTTAATAGATGTTAAAAACACACTTGCTGATTGTAAATGTCCACTTACTGAGAATCAGTAACCATGTAATAGGTATTTTATGTATTAACTACATAGATATTAAATTAAAATTTTGTTTTAATATCATTTTAGTATTTTACTAGCAATCAGCAACCCTCCTATAGGATCTAAGGTGCATGCATATATCTCTAGAAATCTCAATTTAGAAGGTAATCCAAGAAGCTTAATTACCACCATCACCATATCTCCCTTAATATAATGTAAATATGATTTATGATTATTGAGCCTAAAATGTCAGGCACAAAAGAAAGTACTGAGCTATTGGTACGAAAGTACATCACTCATAAAAACAACAAACCATCAGGCATTTAAAAATTAATTACGCTGACGTACCATAGCTGACCTGTCACAGTCAATAAGTACGAATTACTTATTTTCACAGACAGAATGCAGACCTGGTACAGCGATACAAGGGCTGGACCTTCCCAGAGTAGAAAGTTATTCTCTTAATTTTAATAGACAACATAATCCTATCTGGCTGCGTCCGGCATCTGATTTTCAAGAACTAGCTTGCTGCAGAAAAGGAGCCTTTTGAGGAAATCGTGATCTACTAACCATAACGCTGCCAGCTGCTTGTCTTCTGGCGTGGCACTGGGGCCTGAGTGGGTTTTTAGTCTCACTGCATACCTTAAGCAAAAGGAAAAAAAGCCAATGTGAGTTAACCGAGACAGCTTTATATTACTGATCAGAGAGCTAAGCTGGCCAACGTCATTTGATCTGCCCCCTTACACATACTCGCTCAAGTTACCAGGCGTACATGTGCTTTTTTCTGGTGGTGTTTCAGAGCCGTTTTACCGTTAGCAGCGCCTCCCTGCACTCTTGAAACAGCAGTAACTCTCTTGAACATCCATCAGCCCAGAGGGGAGCCGAGCTGGCGAGGTGATGCTGTCCTACCAAAATAACCTCGGCTGCTGTGGAGACCCAGTTACACAGAGTTCACGCAGAAAGGTTTGCAGAGCCTTTGAAGGCAGATGACAGCCTGCCTTGAAGCTGGTGCTGCCCTCGCCCTGCCGGTTCCGAGCACGTCTACCCAGATTTGCTCCTCCACGTAGCGCACAGCGGAGGGGGAACATGTGGCTCAGAGCTATTTTTGCTCATATGACATTACATTCAAATTCTATAAATATTAAACATCCACGGAGGTAGCACTGCTGTTTCAAGAGAGTATGTGCTATGCAATCACAAATTGGTTTCTGGAAATCTCAGCTTCCAGCTGAATACCTGAACAATGGACAAGGTTAGGACAACACACAGCACTTCTGGGCTCGCTTCCAGAAAAATACCTGTTCCCTGTAATTAGCTGCTTGTGGTTTTTCTTATCTTTGCTTTCAAACTTTAATCCTGATACCTGTGCAAAGATTCGGTATGAACATTTTGTCTGAACAGGCATACCTAGTAAGCCATTTATTTTTCTGAGCTGCAGCAAGTGAGATCAACAGCAATTCACACTAAACACAACCACAGCTCCACACATTATTGAAAGCTATGGATCTGCAAGCAAAATTAATTTCCAGAGTTAGGACCATGTATTTACTCTCATGAGAAAAGACAGGGCAGACAAAGAAAGAGCTTTCTGCCTTTTGACAAAAAATAAGGGAAGAATTGCAGAGATGGGATGTACTAGTCTCTTACTGAAAAAAGTATTTTATTTTGTATAATAACCTTCCAGTTAGAAAGCTGGCCTCAATCCACTGAAATGCATGAGAAGACAGCCCTAAGTGGAGTAAAATGGCAATGGAATTGTTAACAAGCAAGAAAATCATTGCACCAACACTAAGTCCAAAAGAATGCAACTGTTTTAGTTGCTTTGCTCCGTTATGAATATGAAATTAAAAAGACAAGAGCTGTGTGGTTGACTGTCCTGAGGGATGATGCCACGGTCACTGTCAGTGCAGCTTTCTCTGCCAGTGTGGCTGGGCTCACTCGCTTGCAGAGAGAGTCACTCAACTGCTGGGATGATTTTGACCTCTTGTGTTTTCTACAATACAGCCAATAATATTAGCTATTAGTACCAACCATAGAGGAAAGGACTTAAAAGATAAAATATTCTTCATAGGGACTGAGGGTGGGATTGAATTTTAGGCTGTCCTGCTTAGCAGACCCTGAAGGTGACTAAATGAAGGGCTCTGCTTTAGTGTGAACTGGACTGCTTCAATCCACCTTGAGCGTCCATTTTTCTATCACTGTTCACATCTTCTTTCAGGTAACCATTAAATGGCAGTCTTAAACACGTAACATTTTGCAAACTACCACTCCATGAGAATGTTTTGGTATTATATATAATTATTTTTTTTCCTTTTGAGTAGCACAAGACTTATACCATGGAACTCGAAATAATTTGCAACTCAGGGAATAGGAAAAGCTTTGGATTTTTGTTTTGTTTTTGTTTGGTTTTTTTGCATTCTACAGTTTCCTGATTCAATTTCCATAGAAATCAGAGATAATACATACATATTAATATGACTGGTCAGGCACTTGGGAAGACTTAACTTCTACTCCTTTTACTGTATCTAGGGAATTATGTGATAATGTGGGTAAGCATGTTTGCACAAACAGAGTAACCCCTGCGGTCATCTCTTCCCTTCCTACCTGATGAGTTCAACTGTTTCTGAATACATTGTATAAGGGGATTTAGATTCCATTGGACCTTGTTCCATTGCATTTCCACACTCAATAAACGATAGTGCTGCTTCTGCATAATTCAGTGCCTTTCCAAACTTTTCCACCTAGAGGGAAAAAATAAGGACACAGAGAAATAGTGTAATCATCAAGATATGGTTAAATTTGATGGGATTTTCTCAACATCAATTGTAAACTTGACACAAGTTGGTATATCTTCAGATTCACATATTTTCCTATGACAAAGTTAAAACCCATCAAACCCTGTACATCAGTGAAAATCATAAGATACAGAGTGTAGAGCTGAAAAAGGCTACAAAATGTTATTTGGTCCACACTCTTGTGTCCAAAGAAGGATCAACTCTGCCTAGGATATTCCTGATAAGTCTTTGTTAAAGCTTTTCCAGTGCTGGAAATTCCACAAACTCATTAGGCCTTTTATTCCAGCTTTCATTAAAAAGGGTTTCCAGTATGTTTGCAAATGTAGTTTTTCAACACTCAACAAAAAAAGGTAATGATTACCGTGAACTAAGAGAATCAGAAATAATACTTTGACTACTAACTCTCTTATTCAAAGGCTGTTCTCTGTTCTCATGTTTTCTTTATCCCTACCATTTTCATCACTGTTTGACCATATTCTTCTCTTGTCAGGAATTTGCTTTCTGTAACCTCTTCTGCTTTCAGGAACTGCAGCTTCCCCTGCCATCTTTCTCCTTCCATTTTTTTTCCTATTTTTATGACTTTTTTGACTCTGTGTGTTTGTATTTATGTGCTTATACAGATGGACATACATATGTGAACATACATAAATGTTCACATACTGTTCATATGTGTACACTTACATACCACTTATCTGCTCTCAGAATTTTATTTTTGATGTGGCTAGAGATGAATCATTCTAATACCTCTCTGTCTTGACTTCTCTTTCCTTCAGTCAGGACTCCTGCGGTACATAAAGCCCATTAATGGACTGGATGCATTTGGTTGAAATCTGATGCACACAGTGAAAGGTTAATGGACCTTATTCTTTTCCAAGGGATAAAGATTTTAAATAGTAACTTTGGAATGGCACACTGGCTTCAATCTATTTTAGGTTCTTATATGACTCCCATTGCAATCATACTGGAGAACTTCACAAACTTTTTATTATATTTCTCTCTGCGGCACTCTTGTGCGGGTGGAAGTGCTATTATCCCAATTTCACAGATGGGGGACTAAGGAGCGGAGAGACTTAGAGTAATTTTCAGGCTGCTCACTTTAAGTGCCTATACAAGGTATTGCAGTGCCAAAGTAGGAGGTATCAAGCCCAGCAAGGTAATTCAAAGCATCTGGAGGCACTTTGGCAATATGGCAATTCCTCCAGGATCCCTACACAGTCAAGAAGGAAGAGGAGGTACCTGCAAAGGGTGATTCACAAGGTGTAAGTAAGGTGCTGGTCCACTGTGTATGGAAGCTGAATGTGAAGGATGTTTCAATCACCTAAGAGCGATGGGAGGCTACTTAAACTGTGCCTAAGTGACTTTCATGCAGGAAACTTGTGGCAGAGCAGAGAATACTGCTTGCACCTCCTGTTTCTGGAAGTCTACCATAAAAGTCTTTCTCTTCAGGCTAAGAATTTCCTTTGCATATGAAGTGGTTTTTTTCCATTCTGTTTAAAGCAACACACTAAAATGCACCATTTGTACTTCGCCATGATATTTTCTGATTTAAGACTCACTTTAGAGTAATATGGAACTGAATAAACCATGGAAATTTGCACTAATAAACTCAGGTAGAGTGCAAAACTCAGTGTTTGTGTCCTAAATTAAGGCCTGCTTCTGCTTCTTTGGCCTTTTAACTTTCTGCACAGCTGAAACAAAGGTGAAGAAACAGAGGCTCTGAGCTACCTCTCTTCTCTCCTGCTGCTGTGACAACAAAAACCATCTGTCTGACAGAGCAAGGCAGGACTGCAGCTATTCCCACCTGCAAGACAGCCGTATTAATGCAGGGTCCCACCCCGTATATTGCATCTCCCATCCCAGGGGCTGAATGTTTTTTAAGGCTGTGCTGGCTTATTCACAGTGCTGGACAAACACAGCCTTGGAGGAAGCTGAGAGGTGAGCTAGGCAGAGCTCTCCTGGAGCACTGGGTACTTCATTGCACCCCTTTGTTTGGAAAGACAAGCTGCTCTTCAGTGCTCCATATCATCCCAGTTTCCCCTTTTTCAAGAGGGTCTTAACTGGCTACATTTTTAAACAGGTCAAAGTCAGGGCCAAGAATCTGTTTGCTGCAAAATCCTTTGTGTGCAAGGTGTTCCTCTGGGGTTACACAGTCCTTGGGTGCGTCTAATTATGTTAGGAAACAACTGCCATGAAACCAGGATTCTTTTGGCACCAAAGAGCCAAAGCTCTTTAAAAAATTACAAATGCCTCAGCCACCAGACCAAATCTGGGGATACAATTATAGGACGTAGCCAGCTAGTTAAACTGAGAAGATAAGTATGTGGATCCCTTACACAGCCCCTATTACTATAGTTACTAATTAAAGCAAAGGAATAAATGGAAAATTTTATTTATCCAGGCCTTTATCTCAGTAAGTCATTATTTGTTAAGTCATAGTTTATTGGGCTATGAACATTTGATTATATAAACATTTCTTAATTTAACAAGCCTAGCCATCCTTATAATAGATTTTATAATTACCCCAGCAATACAGCACTGATGAAGAAACTGCATTACAAAAATAATTTGGAGCAACATAACTGGAAAGAAAATGTTCTCACCATTGCATCTGCTTTATGCTTCTTCCGTTTAGCTTCCTGCATAAAGTAATCTGCATTGCGTGGCCTACCAGGGGAAAATAAGAAGACATTTTATTATTTTCTGAAGTGCATAATATTTTCAAGTTATATTTCCCTTATTTTAAATCTGATTTGCAAACATTTTTTATGAAGAAAATACACTTATCATGTAACCATGCATCTTCTATTTCCAAATTGCTGCCTGTGGAGACAATCGCATTTATGGCTGTTCGCATTCTTTAGAAGTTAGTGATTCAAAGCAAAAAAAAAAAGCTAATAAAATGTGGTTTTATGGATTATATAAACTGCTTCCCAAATTAGTGCAGTTTTGAGCTGCAAAACGGATGCAAGCATTAAGCAGATCAAGTTATTCCATCTTCTCCTCTCCCTGGTGCTTGCTTACCTCTGTTTTCCTACTCTTCTCTGTACATTGTCATTTGCCTTGGCTTCTTCCTCCTCTCAACACAAGTGTGTGTTTAATCTCTCCACTTTGAAAACACACATCAAATCTGTTTGCCTCCTCTCCTACCATCTCACCTCCCTTCTCCCTCTTATCTGTAAGTGTGCTGAGAGTGCTGTTTACTTTCGCTGCCTGGAGTTCATCTCCGCCTCAGTGCTGGACCACCTGCTGCAACTCCACGGGCAGTGCTCGTGCCAATTTCTCCACTGATTTCTTCCCGAGCAGATCTCAGAGGCTCCATCCCTTCCTTAACCTACCTGACCTACTGACTGCAGGGCTCAAATTCAAGTGCTGTCTCTGTGCTGAAATTCACAAGTCCGTTTCTGATCCAGACTTATCCGCTTTCATTCAAAGTTAAAACACAAACTGATGTCTCCTTGGCAATACCTGGTCACCACCTCAGTGATCTCCTCCTGGCTGAAGCAAATTTCTTCATCTCCTCCCACAAGCTCTCCCTATTGCACCTTTCTCAGCCACTGTGGAGAATAGCCATTTGCCCTGTCATTTCCATAACCCTGAATCTTCAGTTCAAGCCTCTCACAGAAGTCTTCACATTTCCTGATCCTGCAGATACTTCTAGTCTCATATACATAGGAGATGGCCACCTTCTTTCTCTGCTCAGCTAAAATATGTCCTTGTTATTCTCAGTTTATGCTGTGGTTACTGCCATAACTTTGTCTATATCAGAGAAGGAAGTTTTGCCTTACAAAATAATTCTCTTAGTATTGGTTAGAGTGTCGTCGCTTTGCCTTTACCTAATGAAAATGAGATATTCCTGAGTAGTCTGAGTATGAATTCTGGTGTTCTTAACCATTCATGCTTTTAAGTACTTGGTGTTGTTAATGATAAGGTACTATTGCCACTCAGCAGTCTGTGGTAGGTTAACCCCAGTAGACAGCCGCTCACTCACTTCCCCCCAGTGGAATGGGGGAGAGAATCAGAAAAGTAAAAGTGAAAAAACTTGTGTGTTCAGGTAAAGACAGACTAAAAGGTAAAGCAAAGCAGAATAAGGAATTTATTCACTGCTTCCCAATGACAGGCTATCAGCAAGGTAGGTAAGAACATGCTCAGATCCATAACTGAGATCAGTGGGAGCAAGGGAGAGCTTCTTGACAGAAGAGGACAACCATATATACTTCCTTGAGACCATAAGGCTATTTGGCAGTGCATTTACTTAGTCTGTGTCCTCTTGTACGTGGTTTCAAGGACATTTAGTAGCATCATAGAAGGTTAATAAACCTTATTTTGAAGAAAAGGAAGGCTGAATATTACTACATGGAAAGAAAATGCTAAGTCTGGCTAATTTTGAATGACATCTGCCCTAGAAAGCTTGTTGATATGAAGAAAAACAGTTGCTTCTCTCCAACTTTCTTTAAAATATTATTCTCCTTCAGAGTGGAATTTCCTGCCAGCTTTTTCTAGCCATTAGGTCACAAAGGAGACTAAAGACAGGTTTGTGTCCCAGTATCTCATAACCTACTGCAGCTGCAAATGCTTCCTGTGCCCAGCAAGATGCTGCCATTATTTTAATAATACAAACCATCTGGATTTGGTCTTGGTCAGTTATGAAGTATTAGACATTGAAACAGTGGTAGCTTGATATAGAAAAGTAACTATGTTTTCAGAACCACGGAAAGAATTCTTAAAATAATGTAAGTCCTGCCTCTCTTCATCTTGTACAATGACCTAGGTGAGATGGTCAACGATGAAGCACCAAAAAGCAGAGCAAATCAACAGAACAGTGGTCTCATATCTCTGAAATTATCAAAGCTGTGAACCTTTACATGATCTTTTCAAACTCAGGTCATTAAAATACGTCCTTTCCAACATCCCCAACCATATATCACCCAGCACTGTATGTCCAATTTGCTTGTGTGAAGCATGGTAAGAGGCTGTAAAAATGAAGTGAGATAACACAATGTAATTATCATCTACTTGTTTATAAATTAATTGTAAAATGGTTTTCAACTATCAGGATTTATTCTCCTGAGTTATGACTACCAATAAGGGTGTTTACAAGGGGCAGGCACATTTCTGAACCAGGAAGCTTGCTTTAAGGGCCTTGCTACGGGGTGGTTAACCATAACGCAATGTGCAAAAAATGAAGTAATTGGTTTGTACTAGGTCCAATTGGTTTTTTTGGGAAGCCCAATATAAAAAGAAACTATTAAGAGGACATTTTAAAGCAAAGCATGTCTAGTCTCCATGTGAATGCTTAGGTATTTCCATAGGAAAAATACAAGACTGATTTACAAATCAGGGGATACCTATTAGAAATTAAGATTCATTGGGAAAAAAATGATAGGGTATCTTTTCTCCAAGTTTCTTAAACAGTGCTTGTTCAATAGTGTTAATAAACATGCCAAGTCAAACTGTGATCTCTTTATGCCATCTATGAAATACTATTCCTCAATTTATCACTACATACTAATAAACTTTCTATGCAGGTTACTGATGTGCATGTTGGGTGAGAAGAGAAAGCGGAAATGTCCTATAGATTTAATGTATGTCTATGTAAATTGCATACATTTCTTACATCATTTTAGTAACAAAACAAGGATATGCTTGGATTTAATTATTTTATGTTTTTTTTTTATGAGAAAGAAAGGCTTCAAATTCAGTTTTGTTTAGGTTCCCACTGCACATGAACACCATTTGTGTTTTTAAATCTAGTATACTAGTTTAAATTATTATGTTATGAAGTGAGAAAAAAAAAAGCCAGAACAAAACCCTTTCTTCTATAGGCTCCTTGAAGAAAACAAGGTACTTCAGCTCATAGACATATGAAGACACATGAGAAAGAGGATGCATAAATTAATTACTCAGGATCATTCTTTTATTTACTGCACCTTTCATATCTGTGAAGTTCACAAAAGTTTGTTTGTCATATTCTGATTTTAGAGTGACTGAGAATCCTTATCTGTTACAAACTTTAAGGTTCATCCAAATTTCCTCTGTAACTTGGTCTTTTTAGTGAAATTCATTATAATCTCTGACTGGATAATTTGCAGGTGATCTCATTGCATACTAACTTCAGATACTGAATGTTACACTAATGAGATTCAGAAAGGTCTGCAGTTAAATTCCTTTTCACATCTTTGGTTTAAGGTTTGCAGGAGCCAGGGAACAGGGAAAATTTCTACAGGGTTAAAATGGCACCATGCTACTGGTTGAACTGGAGAGGATGAGAGTAGTAGAAGAAGCACTGGAGTCACTTTGGCTAAAAATGTTACTGGTCATGAATGTAAACTGAAGTCCCCATGAAAGTTATTCAGTGACTACTGGTTTTCAGAAAATTGAGCCAAATTCTCCTCTTAAGTTGTTTACAACTGTATGTATCTATTGGTGTCAGCACTGTCACTTCAGATTTACAAATAGAATTCAGGCCTCTTTAAAAAAAAATATTAAAAAGAAGTCCGAGTTCAAATTAACAGGTACAAGCAAGTGTTTTATCTCTATTAATAATCTCAACTGCACAAGAAAGTCTTTTGTTTCTGAATATCTGATTGTTGGTACTTTTAGAAATACAGTCCTCTTCAACAAAACCAAAAAGGAGTTCTAATACACTGCTCTAATGCATCTCATATATCTCTCTGAAAGGCAAGAGAAAAGAGCATAAAACATCAGTGCCAACTAAGTCAGGCTGCTGGTGAATTCTCCCTGGGATCGAGTGTCATTATGTGAAACTGGCTGCTCTTGAGGGGAATTTACCCTGCTATGTTGATTGGGGAAAGCAATCAAGTGCTGCTGGAACCAGTTCAATGCATTCTCAGTCAACACTAGCCAGTCACCTAGGCACTGCAACAGAATCCAGCCTTTGACAGAATAACCCCCCCATGGCTAGATCTGATAGTACAAACAAGGCCAGGCTTCTCTTTCAGCAGCAGCATTCAAACCATTTATGACTTTGACAAGGGCAGCCTCAGTAGCACGGTGGTAGCTGAATCTTGGATGAAATCTATCAAACAATCCGCTACTGTCCAGAATTTCTCTCACTCGTCTTGCCACTGCTTTATCGGGGAGCTTGTTGAAAACCAGCAGGAAAGACAGCGTTTCCATCGCTTGTTATGTTGCGCGGGATCCCAGCGTGAGGCGAGATGGCTGCGGGCATGGTAATTACTCCCCTTCCAGAAGCAGCCTTTCAGAATTTCCGCACTGTTGAGCTCCTAAGAGTGGTGTTACCATTACCCAGGTGAAATGCCTGTGTGTGTATCTGTTTCTCTCATCCCATTTAGCTCTGTGCCATTATAGTGCATTTCTGCCACCTTTGTCTTTTGCTGCCTTTTCTGAATTTAATTTGCTCCAGTTTAGCAGATAATTGCAAAAATGTAAACTCACACAGTAAAAAAAGGAAAGAGAATCAAACAAAGTGAATCAATAAAAGCCTTACTTTGTACAGTAATTTATCAGCATCTACTGCAACACAATCTCCTTGGAACTCAGAGCAACTGCTGGTATTTACAGAGTATGGTGTAGCTTAGACTCCAATATACAATTTTAATTGTAGCTGCATTCAAAACCAGATTTTTCATCTAATTTTTATATTTTATATGAACTAAATACTAAACTATAGCATTTTCTGCTAC